TGTCGAATCGAATAATATCGACGTTAGAAAATAATAAAAAAAATGGAGGTAAAGTGCTCCGAGCGTTTTAAGCTAGAAATTCAAGGGCTTATATGCAATGTTAATATCTCATTTTACCGAGAGCTCTTCTCTCTCTCTCTCTCTCTCTCTCTCTCTCTCTCTCTCTCTCTGTGCCCAGTGGCGACAAATCCTTCCGAGACGAATAGCGCTACGCGCTCGTCAGAATTACTCCGCCGCTCATTGTCTGACCCGAAACGCTTATTAATGTCGCGGCGTTTCTGAGAGTGATAAATTGCTGCGGCGCGTATCACAGCGTGCGCGCGCGCGAACATTTTTCCGGAAAATGCCGGAAGGTCTTTGTGCTCTCTCGGCTCTCTCCTCTTTCCCTGCGTTCTCATTTTTCACGGTTTTCAGTTATGCGAGCGGGCGGCTGATGAAATTGCCGAACCGGCAAAGCGCCCGATGATGGCTGTGGCTTCGTCGTCGTCGTCGTAGTCGTCGTCGTCGTTGTCGTTGTCGTTGCCCGCGCCGCCGGAGAGAATCTGTTTGCTCAGTTCTATTTACGAGGGGATGCGCGCCGCCTCTCTCTCTCTCTCTCTCTCTCTCTGCGTGTAAACCCCCGTTGTGTTAATAGAATACGCTCGTGTCCCATCCCAAAGGAGGCATACAGTCACACGGGATCGTAATCGGTTGCCGCGCCATATCGTTACCGCGTTATCGGGCGCGCGTTTCCATCGCGAGTGGAGACTTAACGCTCGCGTCTGCAAATTCGATCTAGACGCGCCGCGTTTCCTCTCAAGGTGATGTCTTAATCTTTTACGACATCCCGCGAGGAAAGGAAAACGAGAGAAATTCAGTCAGGGTCTGAATATCCGCTCGAGAGAGGATACGGATAAAGAGTTGGAGAATTCTCATTCCGTTTTTTATCACGCTGTTTAATATCATCCTCTCGTGTTTGTTACTAACGAGGCAATGACGTTCTCGTAAGACACTTTATTTCTTTTTGTCACGATGATTACACAAGATGGAAAGAATGATAGAACCAAATCGTTATTTGGACTTAGCTCGCGCAATTGTGCCGTCGCACATCGACGTCGTCGTTCGCGAGTCGTCGATTTTTCGGAATCCAGATCTGATGGCAGGTAAAAAGGGAAGGGGGGAGAGAATGCGCGCTCATATTGCTGCGAGCCGATCGAGCGTATACCGCGACGAGTTGCGACGGAGCGAGCAACGAAATAAAATGGCTGAGGAAAGAACGGACCCTTCGGCAATGCACTCGAATGCCGAAATCGACGATACGATCCATTTCGAAATATCGCCTGAGCGCAGTTTCCGAGCCAAGTGCGACTCGGAATGGGGGAACTGTTCGGAAAACTATGGCAGAGAAGGTATCGTAACGGGTTCGGGACACTTTGTACAGGCATTTGCTCCCGCTTTTCGCCATCGTAACGGCAAATAAATATTGTTTCGCCGCCGGGCAAAGATTCGCGACGCAGCAGCTTAGCTACGCGCTGAAATACGAGCCGGAGCCGGTGCAACGTTGGCGCTTTGACATTAACAGCATCACCTCCCGCGCGCATTCGCTTTTCGTGTCGCGCGGCGGCCATTAGTTCACATTAACGTGAAAGAAAGAATTTTCGTTTTCTGCGTATAGATAATTTTTAAAGAGCGGAGAAAAACACATTGTTTGCAAAAAGTCTCTTTGCGACGACACGTCCCGCGCTTGAAAGCTAACACACACGCGACACACGGTGCTCTTGACAAGGAAAGGTCTTGCAAAGGTTCGTAATTTTCTTTGTGTTTTCAAGAAACATTACCCGCACACATCACATTTGTATTTTAAAGTAGATATATATTGAAGTACATTAAATATTTTTTTAAAAATATTTAAATGTCTTTAAAGCATATCAAGTGAATGTAATGTAACTTATTAATTTTGCAATAGAAGAGTGTACGAAGATAAAGTACGAGAGATCGAAGAAACAAAAAGACAAACATTGCTCGCGTAGTCCCTAAACTTAAATCGGGAAATCGGAAAAATGTTTCAGATGTTTTTCCGCGCGCGCGCGCGCGCCGCGAGTTTAAACCAACAGATCAAACAACTCGGATTACGTGCCGCGACTAGAAGGTACGAAGTTTTGGAAAATCATCCGGCGAATGGGCAATACTTGTATTGTTCTCGTGACCGCTGCTGTGTGTTCGCTTAAACCACCCGCGCGCCACGGCTATAACAAGAAGTTATTGTTGGCCGTGGAGTGCGGGGAATGCAGAACCTTATTGAATTCGTACCGCAAGAGGGGATACGCCTTTGCGTATATCGAGCAGCAGCTAGGTAGTCCGATAGCTTTCATTTCTCCGGTGTTCATCGAAAGTTGCCGGGAGAGAATGCTTTATTCAATGGCGGAACAACTTCTTGTGCCTAGGAATGTAAAAGTTCTGACCTAGGTAGAGGCACGGAAATGAGATGTTTTCCCTCTCTCTCTGTGTGTGTGTATATATACGCGCGATACGTAAAATTTCAAGATGTATGTAAGTTTGCTGTATTACGGTTAAGTTTCAAATTTAGCTACTCGGGAACGGGAAATAAAAAAAAAAAAAAAAAGAGTAGAACTGTTCTTTGAAAGAAAATGAAAGATAATCGATTTGCGAGTCTTTTTTCGTTACTATGGAAATTTGAACTCTTTCGTTTCAACGGCGCGGGAATTGAGTGTGAAATGAAATTTCGAAATTCCTCCTCATCGCACTTTATGAACTTTCTCATTCGTTCGTCTCTGTATTTTTTTTTTTTTTTTTTTTTACAAAAGTAAGTAAAAAATTCTGTTACACACACCCGGTCGCTGTAACAAATTAATTTCACCGCGCGAAGTCGCTCGGTGAGAATTAATTTCGCCGCTCGTCAACCGCTTTACTACCCTCCCGACCTTTTGATCCCCGTCACACCTTCGTTATGCCCAGAGCATCGTCATGCGATTTCCGCAATTTCCACATGTACCTCGTAACAATTTCAATTTCTATCCGCGCCGAAGTCCCATTTTACCCGGCATACAATGGGAAATTTTATCGGGCGCGTTCTATCTCGCCCTTTTCTTGCCCGTGTGTTCGCGGCCCGTACCATTGGGCTTTCCCGATGCCACCCCCCTTTCTTCCCCACTCCTCTCCCCTCCACGTCTCTTCAACCCGATCTCTTTCTTTTCCATCGCATTCAGCTACTCCTATGGGATTATGATAATGACGATTTTTCTCTTCGCGATCGTCGAAACCTCGGTTTAAAATGGCAAGTCGAGCGATTCATATAAATTGAACAAAAAATCCGCGTTAGGGGAGAGCGCGTCGCGGGAGAGCGAGAGAATGATAACTATCGCACGATCGGAGTTACATTAATTTGGAATATACGTTTTTTGTTTTCTGATAAATATATTTGAACGACACAACGGGGGAGTAACAAATTTTGATCGGTTGCTTGTTTGCTAATTATCAACTTTTAACTATTGCTTTTGTTATTTCAGGACGACATTTATCTACAATATTTGGTATTCTGAAAGGAAAATCAATTGCCTCTGTTTCGCGCGTGCAAACTAATATAATATAAGCTAAGATTGACGTTACGTTGAATTACTATTGACAGATAAATTTACATTGTGCAAGAGTCAACGTTTACACAATAGCACGGGGAGAGCAGTCAACTGTGAGATATTAATTAACATCCTGTATAAATCGGATATTACGATTAACATAGATAGAAATGTATTAAACATCATTACGCATATGCTGTTCATGCAAAAGCGCAAATTAAACGTTTAGAGGATGTTAATACGCAGTTAATCAACGACTGCTGCATCGCATTCGAAGGAGGGAAAAGCTTTCTTTTAAAGTATAAGTCAATGAGCGCAATTTCCTACCAGAAAAAGCGTGTGTAAATAATCACAATCGATTCTCTTGATATATATATATAAAATTTTTTATATATTTATAATATTATACCTTATATTGTATTATATGTATTATATACATATTACAGTAAAAGGTCACTGACCCCGGCCGCGCGACCCTGGCGGGGTCACTGACCTCAACCACAAACCTCAATTATTGCCAAAACGTTTATATATTACAAGTTTTTTGACATTGTCACTGCGAATACAAAGTACAAATGAAAGGGGCGCAAAGAGCTCGTCAGTGGCAAATTCGCAAATTATTCGCACCGGTGCGCAATCACAAAGAAGAGACAGGGTGTTTCTTAGTGCAAACGGCACAGTCGCGGTTCGCGAGAATGCTTAGACGCGATTGTACACAAGCGCCTTGTGAGTGATGGCGTAACGCTTTATAATTCTCGGGAAGTTCGGGCTTAATCAAGTGCTTATTACAATTACCCTACGGTATGCGCAACCTGGCAACTTTCAGTCCACTCAGACTGCAGCTTCTGATGCTGTAAAGCGGGTTTCGCGTTTAATCTCGTTTGTATGTACGGCACACTGAGTTTCCATATTCATCTAACTTCGACTTTAACGCGCGGAGTCTATAGAACACTCGATGTTTTGTCAGATAAGATTTTGCTCCCGAGCTTTGTTAATCTCATCGGTTTACAGAGCGTTTTCATCACTCGTTTCGATGATCTCTTCAGATGGAAGAGCTCGGCGCGATGTTTAAGCGCGTGTAAATTTTACTCTTTACGGTGTGAGATTCGCAGATATTTCTTAGTTAGTCGAATTTATTTCACTTGCAAACACGTCGCGCTTATATATTAGGTCTACCGGAAAGTTCTGTCCGTTTTTGGAATAAAACAAAATACAAATTTTTCTTAATTTTTCAAAAATGAGATATACAAATTGCCCTCACGCTGGCAAGAAATCATTAATAATAATGGCAATTATATTATTTAATAAAGTTTATTGACGGTAGGAAAAATTTGTATTTTGTTTTATTCCAAAAACGGACAGAACTTTCCGGTAGACCTAATAATACTCGATTATTACGTTACTAAAAGTGTTTTTATGTCTTTTCAGGTGGTTCCAGTATCGCCAGCGTGGTAACAGGAAGCAACAAGCCCTTGAAATCCAGGGACAAGCCTCAATTCGACGATATCGCGCCACGGAACGTCACTGCCATCGTCGGTCAGACAGCGGAGCTGAATTGTTACGTCAAACATCCGGGTGACCGCGTGGTGAGTAAATATTTTCACGTACATTTGTGCGACGCGTCTCCGAACATTAATTCTCATTGAAGATCCAAAAGAATCCTCGCTTCGGTTAAAACGCAATTTCTTTCGATTTTTCACAGTAGCTATTTGTTTCATTAGGGACGCAAAATTAAGTAATACCGCGATTTTAACGTAAAAATATTTATTTAACCTTACAAGAGCGGAAAAAAATCGCGTGGCAGCATGTAGTGTACGTCTTGTTTTAATTAAAATTTATAAACAATTTGTACTGTTACACGGCGTTGTGTACTTTATTCCGCGTTACTTCGCACCTCGCTACGTCACTCCGTATCGTTGGCGAAGTCAGTCTCAGAAACTAATCACGTTGATTAATGCGGCAAAATTGCCGGTTTGAAAAACTATATAGAAAGCGGCAATTTCTGCAACAAGGCTACCGCCCGCGTTAAGTTGTTGTCGTGCGCTGCGTTGCTCCGAAACAACAGAAAACACTGTGTGTGAGAGAGAGAGAGAGAGAGAGAGAGAGATCCCAGATTACAGTACACAGACTTCAAGATTCTAGACTAGGGTAAACTGTAGAACTGCACGCTACGCGCGGAAAAATCGATTAAGAAAATACGTGTAAAAAGTTCCCTCGTCGGGAAACACAACATAATTCTTTTCTCGAGACGGTATAAATTTTTCGCCGACGATATTGCGCGAAAATATCTCGAAACGTTGAAAATTTTCGCTCGATGATACTACGGAAAGCGATAAAAAATGTTTTTTTTTTTTTTTTTTTTTAATTTTCCGCTCCAGAAATTAATATCGCAATTGCGTGAAAAAGAAAAGGAACTTTGCCCGCGTCGGTAGCGTGGAAATTCTTTCGCGAAGAAGGGACGTTTTTATCGTTAGGATGCAAACGGAACGGCGGAACTCTCAAAGTCTCGGCGAGCAAACAATAACACAGCGTCTTGAGACAATAACACGCTCACCTGTAAAACTGCAAACAGTTATACGGGAACTCATGGCGGCGCAACGGCGACGTTATTTTCACGAGGCGGAGGATATAAGCGGCGCGATAAAAACGCGCTCGGACATTCTTGCCGCGTTTATTATAAGCTAGGAAAGAAATTGCACACAGCGAGAGAGAGAGAGAGAGAAGTTCCCGATTGAATGCAAATTCCCGTCGTTATGACACGCGCGTAAGCGCGAAATGTTCAGTCGTTACAATCGTTGCGTTCAACTTTAATCAGCGCAAGATTGCTTAATCACTTTTAATAACGCGCGCACATTTTTGCTGATTTCGTACGCTTTTGCGTTTGAGACTTTTGCGATATACTAACCGCTTTGGCGACCAATAAGATTCTAATCTTCAGAGCTTTGCGCAATCGGGAGCGCGAAAAAAAATATCTACGACATCGTTAAACTTCATCGAATTGTTTTGAGCATTATCATCGACAAGCATTAACGGATCGTTAAACTTTAACGACCCACTGGAGCACCGGAGCTACACGGAAAGTCGAATGTTCAATCCTCGCTTCGCGAGGAAATTCGAGTTTGGAACACTCGCGCAGAGAGCGGAATACCATCATTTAACTTAGTTGTTTGTTCAAGATTATGCTTATTGCGATGACATTAATAGCAAATGTTTTAACGAAGCATAAACGAGTTCTTCAGATTTCTGGACATTAGCAGAAAGAGAGAGAGAGAGAGAAAGAGAGCGGTCTGTAAAACCATCATAACGTCGATAAACCTACTCTTGAGTTTACACACACACACGCTGTGAGTTCAGGTTTTAAAGTAAATCAAATTCGTAAAACAATTTTCGTAGTTTTACATCAGGGGCACGAGCCTAACGTAAAAATATTTTCAAGATACACATTTTCCGCGCGTAGAAACGCGTAATTTTCAGGTGGTTTACGTTAGCAAGAAATGTTTCTTCCTCCTGTTTGCAAATACAAACGAGCGTCTTGGAATCGGTTATTGTTTGTTTCCCGGACGTATTCCCGGGCGTCGAGAGACGAGGCTGTTTGTGCATTCGTTTGCATTGTCTCGACGTTGTTGCCCTGCCTCAAGAAAGGAAATGCACGTCTCTGGGTTCATTAACACTTTGCGCGGCACGAGCGATAATGAAGTGTCCTGATGGAATAATTGTCTTTGTGTGTAAATGGCATGTTCGCCCCCGTTTGGTTGCGACAATTTGTTGTTCTTCCGCGCGCTCTCTTCCTTTCTCTCTCTCTCTCTCTCTCTCTCTCTCTCTCTCTCTCTCTTAAATCTCTCTCTCTTAAATCGCATAACATAAATTTTACACGAACCGAGCGCGCGCACAATTTCCGAGCGCGCAAAATTAATTAATCCGTAGAGTTATTTTTTTAAGCGCGCGCGCGCGCGCACACGGGCGTAATTCATTTCTCCGTTGATCCGTACGTCAATTACATTATCTGACTTGTGTCAGACCGCATTGGGTTTGTTTCCGGGATATTATTTGCCCCTACCCTCCGTCCTTTGCCTCGCGCCAAGCGGATTCGATTTATACGTAAATGTTCGCATAATTATGGGTGTTTATCCGGGTTAGCGTGCGTATTGTTAGCGCCTATATCAATATGCGCATTAAATTCATTAAAGTTGCGTTGCGTACAATTGAGGTTTAATGTTTATTTTGCGCCGCGTACATATTCGCGTATTATTGCATCGCAGGGTGTGTAACGCGACCGCATCCCGGCATTGTGTGCCGGGGCGATGGCGCGTCACATACATTATTAATATCATTCGTTCAATTTTGATCGCGCGCAATCATCCGTGACAGTTTCTGCTGCCGCACGCAGCAGACGGAGAATTGTTAAACGCGCGCCGTTCAATCAACCGCGATTTCCGGATCGTAACAAAATGGTCTTCGTTTGTTTGTTGTTGATGTAAGTTAATGCTAATTAGTGCGGAGATCGATGTAAGTATCCGAAACGCGCGCGCGTGTGTCGTCGATTAATCTGTTTTATCGCGGCGTATGTGTGTGTGTGCGTGTGTGCGCGCGCGCGCGCGCGCGCGTAAAGTTTCGAGATAATTGAGGGAAAACGTTTAACGAAGCTGTAATTGACATGCACGAGGAAAGTAGCTCGAATCGGGGTTTATCGATGCTTATCTCCAACGAGCCGCGCGTAACCGACGCGATCAAATTGCGCGACGTCGCCTTGGATACACGCAACAGCTGCAATCTCGGCAAGACGGCACATGACATCGTTATCAGGGAGTTTTATTATTTTGAAACGGGGCAATCGCCCTCTTACTTTAACGCGTCATTGGGCACCCTCGACCGTCGTCGTAACAAGACGGTCGTTAAACCACTTGTCTTTGCTCTTGCTCCTGAAATTCCCGGGAGTGAACGGCACATTGCGCGGTTGTTCGCGCAGCACGTTCGAACATACACGGTAAGCTAATTCGACCGTCTCTCTCTTTCTCTCTCTCTCCCTCGTAAAAAACAATTTTGCTGAAAAATTTTTTCACACTCGGTGGTGGAACAACCGAGCCCGTCAAAATGACGGATTGCGAAAATGTACATAATTGATATTTGCAAGAAATGTAGTTTTTTTTTTTTTATTTAAACAAGAAAAAAAATAACACAAGTGTGAAATATTGTAAAACATTTTTTGTAGCGCTGAAAGCTTTGTTTTGGTAATTAATTATTTAAATACTAAAGAAATTAAAAATAATAACGACCGAAACGTTTTTTTTTTCAAATAATCGTCAAATTGACGGACGTGTAAAACTAGACTACACGCGTTCATCTCCGTTAATATTGTATTCTGGTGTTTCAATAGAACTTTTTTTGTAAATTTAAACATTTTATTGCAATTTAACGTCGCGTCTCTCCCTTTCCAAAGATATTTTCAAACAAAAAAACAAATGTGATATTGCGCGAGAAACATGACACACTTGGTATGTACACGTTATATACGTGCAGTATACATGCATCTAACGATCGTCTTGGTTGCGCAAGGGCTGCCTTTAATTGGCAGACGGAAGGGCTTGGGAACAGCAAGAAGAAGCAAGTGCGGGATAGAGAGATTGCTAGAACGGTTACTCTCTCTCCCTTCCCTCTCCGAGACTGCCGCGTCCTCAGTGCTGGCAAATGAACCGATCAAGCATACTCGGCCAAGTGGTTGTAGAGAGAGTATCGGGTCAGACCGCCCGCCACTACGTCTATGATATGTATGTCGCGCGCAGCGCACACGTAACCGGCACAAACGTCCCGGAATAGGTATGCGCATACACGACTGACGGTAGATTGGCGAGTGCGGACAGCTGGGCGAAGATCAAAGGATAAGTGCCGGAGGGCAAATATCAAATTAAATAACCCGCGAACTTGACTTGGACGAGACTCCAAGGTTCGGTTTGACTTTGGCAGGACACGCGCGTATTACATCAAACCGATCCTTTTTATGTTTACCCACCGAGTCTCGTGAAAAAAACTCTACGTAATATACTTCAATCAAAATAATTAGTTTTTTTCATAGTTGTTTTTATTTACGTACTTCCACTACTGTATAAACATGCTTAAATGTTTCTAACAATATTGCAATCGTAACCAATCCGATGCGATCCGAAATCGACGTTAGAGAGCGTCTCTCTCTCTCTCTCTCTTGTTTAATTAACAACTTCCGTCCGGGAAGAAAAGTCGACGGAGAAATACACGTCGTGTTTCTCTCGCTTAAGCGAAGCTTCGTAGGCGGAACCGTTCGCCGGCTTGATTGTAAAATGGATCGGAAGTGATCCGTTTAATCGCAGTCCTACCCATCGCATGTACCATCTGAAATACTTCGAATGGCTTAGGCTTAATCGTGTATCCGCGCACCGCCAAAGCACCGATGCATGTACGTGTGTGTGTGTATCCGTCGAAGGAATTCCCCGATACGCGCGCTACAAGGGTTTGGCATCTGATTGCGCGTATCGGTTTTGCATTTTCCGACATAATTGCGCGTAGAGACACGAATGACGTCGCTGATCCGCTTTTTGCGCGGATTTAAAAAAAA